ACTTAACGTATTATTTACAAACCGATCAAATTTTTTCAAATTTTGAAATTGCGTAACTGTAAATAGTTGCTTTGATGTAGCGAGACCGGAACGTGTTTGCTCAACTGCGATTCGATCTTAACTGAATATGTTTGGTCACAGTACCTCAAAAAGCTGAATATCTTTGAATATGAGGAAAAGTTAAACCACTTCGCAGTTAAGTAGGAACGTGATTTTAGATATTTTATATACACACATTTCATATGCTCGCAAGCTTGTTTATAAAAAAAACTTTGTCGATAGGAAAGCTTTTACCAATCAAACATGGTTAGACCTTAAAAACTTAAAGGAATAAACATTTCAGTATCTTATTAAAAGTTTGCCTCCAATTGATTGTACATACGAGTACATACTATGTATGTATAAGTACACACACACTACATAAATTTGTTTATTACAGTTTATTAGTCAATACCAAATTATGTGTAACATACCTTAATTAATGCTTATGGTATTTCAAAGTATCACAGAAAGATTCCAATTGTGAGTTATGCACTTGCTCTTATGTACATCTGAATACAATATGATAATCTGAATTAATATTGTCTAGAAGGAACATTTAGTTTTGAGCTTTATTTGGTCGAATTTAAAAGAAAAGAATGCCAGCAACTAATGCAAGTAATCGAAAGCTTTATTTCTGACACATGATCCGCTATCTAACACATCTTTAAAGAAAGCCATGCTTGCAATGTGTGTATATTACAAGAAAATAGTATTCCAGAAAGTCTGTGGATTCCCCGATAAAGGTTTCGAGAAACAACTAGTTTGTTTCCAATAGAGTACAGTAAACTGTACTGTATAGTACTGAGGGAACTTCAGGACGACAGTGTAAACCAATTATTCTAATCGATGAATGCATAAATCAAAAGCTCCAATGGATTTCTTCGATTAGTTTTAAACTCTACTTCTTGCTTACCATTTTGAGTTGTGTGATCATCTTACAGCCCCAATAATGCAACACATTGCCAGCAACTCATATGGCCGAGTCACATACAACTTTCCTCACTTTGTTTGACAATATTTTAACAACGAAGAGAAAAAACCGAAGGGATTTGCCAAGGTCAAAGGCGGGGAAATACGTTCAGTTGCTGCAAAGCTTTATATTAAAAACTGTTGCATAAGAATTCAATATGTATTATTTGAAAAAAAAATCTAATGGATTACAATCAAATTGGGTATCTTATCAACTTATTTTAGCTGTCTTCGATTATCGTATAAATTATCGCCTTTTCAGTAGTTTCCAACAAAACCGTTATATGGGGTGTGGGCTTGGTTATCAACGTATTTTCACACTCCAAGAAAAAATACTAGGAGAACTTCTTTTCAGCAAGTTTGGTTGCAATAGCTTTAGTGGTTTGTGAAATATGCTAATTAAATACATTAGGAAGCGGGGCCACACCTACTTTTAAAAAATTTTCAGCTCACAGCCGCCTCTTCAACTTCCTTCAACTACGATACCTTGTACCAAATAACGGTTTTTATCTTAATTTGGAGCTTAGTTATATATGTTTAGCTTAACGGCATTTTGTGGGCGTTGGTCCGATTCCATCCATTATATCTCATTTTTAACTAAAGTTATCACTTGCACGGACGGGCAGACAGTCACTCGGAATTCAGCTCCTGATCATTTATTTATTCATATATACCTCTATATCTATCTCAATTAGTTTTAGGTGTTACAAACAACCGTTAGAGGCTTAGATAGTTTTGGTTAATTTCTATCAAAACTAAAAAAGCTACAATCCCAAAATTTTACTAATAAATAAAAGAAGAATTAGCGTTTTACGTTTTTTCCATATGTAAAAATTTTTTTTTCAAATTAATTAAAAAATAAAAAAATGTAACTTGATCATCAGGTTCGCACATATCACTTTTTTTAATATTGTTTTACCTTTCTAGCCAGGAATATATTTTTAAACTTATATATTAACTAATTTAAACATTTGTATATTAATTTAATAATGATTCGATCCCGCCTTGTTGAAAATTATCTCAAAGATCCGATTGGGTAGCGATTTGTATAATTTTCCAATATAATATAAGGAAATTGATGATTAAGCATTTTTAATACCTAACTAATTCCTTTTTAGTGAAATATGCATTAAACTGACGTTTTGTCCTTTAATCCTACAATTAAAAACTTGGATAGTCTGAATCGTTACTTCATCGTATCATGCGAAGTTCAAAAAAAGTTTTAAAATGAAGAAAATCAGTTTTTACACATTTGGATTCATATTAGTATTCAACAAGTAAGGAAGGGCTAAGATCGGGCAAAACCGAAAATTTTATACTCTTGCAACTTCATTGTTAGACGGAATCCTGAATGGATTACATTCAAATTTGGTATCCTATTAACTAATTATATTAGAGTCATCATAAAAATGAGATACATACAAATGCATATGTGATATAAACTCAACCGAAGAGGCTAAATTTAATATATAAACAGGTCGAAAGTCGGAAATTATTATATAGGGTATATTGGGGGCAGAGAAATGGAATGGCTGATTGCACTAATTTTTGATATCCGTTCAGGTATACTTCAGAACTTATTTTCATTAAATTATATAAATATGTATGTAAATATGTAAATATAAACATATAATCATATATATGGATATAAGTTAGCCTGATGTGTCAAAATCCTGAATATCAGTTATATGGGGGCTAAGGCAAGTTTTCGTCCGATTTTATCCACTTTAGACACAAAGATACACTGGTATTAGAAATATATGCTCTCTCAATTTCATTAAAATAACTCCCACATTGGCCCATATATGTAATATTAAGTAAAATTTTTGACACAAGAGTATACTATTATCAACAAAACATTTTCCCCGAATTTCAATAATATATCTCACAGTTTGACCGATAAAAAATCAGCCATACACACTGGGGTCCACACATTCGGTATGTGGTGGCATAAACAGTTATGGTCCGATTTTGACAATTTGTAGACTCCAAATAGCATACCTTAAAGGTGCTATTTATGCAAAGTTTCATGTGAATTGTGCTTTATGGGAAGTGGGCGTGGTTGTAGTCCGATTGCGCTCATTTTCACCAAATAAATCAAATTTGGTGCATAAAATTGCTTTTCTATTCTTATCTTATATTGTGGAAAAGGGCGAATTCGGACCCATAACGTTATTGTAATAACACATTGGGAAAAATAGTGCGTTGTAGGTAGTCCATCTCAAGACTAAACATTTTAAAGGTCGGGCCATAACTTTCCAAGGCCCCATATACCTAATATGTGGACCTGGTGCATACGGCTGACGTCTAACCGCAAACATCAGTCAATCTGTGAGGTCTTGTATTGAAATTCGAAGATAATTTTTTTATGATAACACCATGACACTACCAAAAATGGGTTTATCGCTGAATATGAATGAAATGGGTCAAGATCTTGATCTAAGTATTAATTATCAACGAACTGAATTCCGAGTGACTGTCTGTCCGTCTGTGCAAGTGATAACTTGAGTAAAAATTGAAATATCTTCATGAAACTTGCCATATACATACATATGTCGGTATTACAGATGGGTGTATTCGAACGACTGCCTCGCCCATAAAGCGCCTATAAACGAAAATCTATAAAGTGTAAATTAAGATACACAACTGTATTTTTGTACACAGAATCGCAGTCGCGAGGGGCAGTTGTGAGCTAAAACTGGTTTAAAAATGGGCGTGGTCCCGCATCATATCTCTCATATTGGTGTGAGGTTACCCAAACATTTATGTTATCCACGCCTACTTTCCATATAACAAACTTTAAAATCCCAATTGTTTCTTTCACGTATACAAATCAAAAATAAATGAAGTTATCAGAATAACAAACAGTGCCCTCACGCCCAAAAATTGTCGAAATCAGACTACAACTTTTCAAGGACCTATACACCAAATATGTGGACCTCAGTGCATATGGTTAATTTTTTTACCTAATATATCAGTCAATCTATGAGGTCTAGTAATGAAAGAATGTTTTTAAGATGACGGTATGCTCTTGTGCCAAAAATGGTTAAAATCGGGTCAATCATATACCGCATATATTAAATTTAACTTTATTTGAGTTTATATCACATATATACATATTAGAGCTCTTGGAATTTGATTAACCGGATTAATAGGATAGGGCATTATTCGAATAATAATATTCGGTTTGCACTATCCGGATAGTCGTAAGTCGTCGACTATTCGATTAACCGCTCATTTTCGACTATGCGGTTAACCGTTCGCTGTTGACTATTCGGTCAAGTAAGTGCCGTTTCACACAGGGACGCAAAAGAGTCTCATACCAGTTTATTGTGGGTGAGGGGACGACGAGGAAAGACGAAGGGACCGTGCCACTCGTGTTCGGGTGGCACGCTTTGTGTTCTTGTTCGTAACAGCTCGCTGCTACCCTTTTCAGCATTCCTTTTCACTTTCAAATCCTTTGAATGGTTGCAAGAGCGCTCGGTTTCAAATGAATTCGATCGCAAATTTGAGTTCTGTTATCTATTTTTGTATGTAATATGCAAATACGTATGCATAGAATAATAGAAATATTATGACAAATTGTAAATAAGGAGAAAATTAAGATATAGATTATGGAGTAAAGAAATTATGAATTTTTAATACGGAGTAAAGAAATTATGAGTTTTTAATACTTAAAGATTAGGAAATTCCTATTATAAATTTGGCCTTGAAAATATTAGTAGCGGATATTCAATACATTCTTGTGGATTAGGGAATTCCCGTCTTTAGTATTTTTTTGAAACTATTTAGCGGGTAGGTACTTGTATTATGCATATTGTTCTACCATATTCATGGTAATTCATTGCAAGCAAAATGTGTGACCATCATCTCAACATACAAATGAAATACGCAGCATGCAGTGTTGCGCGGTGTTGCGCAGTCGAACCGCACAAATATTTACGAACATTTTGTGAAAAGGAATGCAGAAAAACTAGACTCGAGTTGCTGGACTCTTTTTGACCGTGTGAATGCCCAGAGCGACACCAAAAGAAAATTTGAAAAACATCCGACTCTTTTGCATCCCAATGTGAAACGGCACTAAGCGGTTATTCCTTTTCTTATTTTTATTGAAAAAAGTAAAACATTCAATAGTTGAATTTTGTGCATAAATCAAATGCTGCTTCGATTTCAAACAATTTTCATTTACCTAAATACTCGCACCAGAGCAACTATTCGAAGAGTGGCAATGTTACGTTAAGATCTCAGACATGAAATTTAGTCGTCAAGAAGAATTTGCAGGAAATATTATATGTACTTTTCGGTCAATTAAAAAAAATTATATTGAGTTAGAAAGTATTTACTGAAAGTATTAAATCACATTTGGTTGGATCAAAACATCAACAGTAATGCACGATTACAGCAATCAGAGCGAATTCATCTATTTTTATATGCCTTTATAGCAAAAGAACAGCTGATTATGTTTTCATTCGCCATATATGATTAAAACAAACCCATGCATAAGTATTTTGAAATCAAAACCTATATATATTTTCACGAATGGTGATGGCCACTAACATTGAAAAAGCCAGAGTGCTTATAGTAGGAGATTCGGGTATATTTTTTTTTATTGGTTGCGCTTTACGCAGTGTATTTTATATGTGATTTTATTCTCTTCTAGGAGTTGGAAAAACATGTTTAACACACCTGATAGCACACAGTGAATCATTAACACGGCCAGGATGGACTGTCGGATGCAATATAGAAGTCAAGTTACACGAATATAAGGAAGGGACCCCACAGCAAAAAACCTATTTTATTGAACTGTTCGATATTGGTGGGTCCTTAAGTCATAGAAATACGCGAGGTGTATTTTATACATCTTTGCATGGAATTATTCTAGTTCATGACTTAACAAATCGCAAAAGTCAAGAGAATCTACGGGATTGGCTTTTTGAAATCCTTAATAAAGATGGAAAAGATATTAAAAATTTTAGTTGTGATAATACATTTGATCCAGAGCAATTTTTAGGATCGACACAACTTCCCATGATAGTAGTTGGTGCAAAGCTAGACCTATTAGAGGAAAAACGGAAATCAAACCAACTTCAAAAAATTGGTTCGATCGGTAAGTTAAGTAAATTTAATGTTGTTTTCTAAATATACATGGGTAAAATTGCAGCAGAGCAGTGTGGTTCGGAAGAAATATGGTTAAATTGTAGAGATTCTCGTAGTTTCGCTGCGGGAACAACCGATGCCGTCAAATTATCTCGTTTTTTTGATCGTGTAATAGAGAAGAAAAATCATTCTCGCGACCTGCTCAATGCATCCACAGATAGAAGAAAACATACAAGCATGGAAGTTGGGAATAGAATAAGCTCGCAATTTACTTGATTAAAAAACACCAAGAATGTATTGTATGAATATTTATGTAAATGTTTTTTGCTATATCCTAAATAAAAGGTATATAGAATAGTCCATTGGTAATGTTTTTTATTTTTATTTTTTATTGAGGTGCTTTACTCTTTATCGAAAATCTTAACCTGGTGGCCATTGCATTTGACGTCCTCCGAGAAAATGCAGATGCAAATGATAAACAGACTGGGCTCCGTGTTGACCGTTGTTTATAACAACTCTGTAGCCTTTGTCTAATCCTAGATCTTTGGCTACTTTTGCACCTACTAACATTAGATGACCTAGTAATTGACTGTCATCTCCGCTTGCTTGAGATAGTTGAACAATGGGCTTCCTAGGTATTACAAGAAAGTGTGTAGGCGCCTGAGCATTGATATCATGAAATGCTACACACTAAAAACAAGCAATTAAAAAAAAAACATATAAAAAATGTATGCAAGTTAACCTTCTCATCCTCATATATGAAATTGCATGGAATTTCCTTTCGCAAAATTTTTCCAAAAATAGTATCTTCGGCTGCGCCCGCTGTTTGTGCCTTCTCCACCTCACTAGACATTTTTGCAATATTGGTCAGAGGTCGAGGCAAGCTAGAATAAATCAATATTGAGAGTAAAATATTTAGAGCTTATTTTATACCGTTTCCGTATATTCTTACCTTTTCCGTAAAACCAAAATTGTACTTGAAATGAGAAAACGCATATGCACGTACGTAGTTCTTTAATTTTTTGTCTAAAAAATGTAGTGCCCACCAAACAGTGCTGCCGTTCAAAACATTCGTTACCTAACAGGTCGTTTCCACAATTTTCTCGTCAAAGAATGTAAAATATAGAGAAGGTCCAACCAGAGAACGTAAATGAATAGAGAAGGAGCAAATGTTAAATGAAATCTTTTTGAGTACTAATTTGTAATTCCAGATGAGGGAACATCGAAAAATATAACTTCGAAAAAGAAAAATACACCACGCAATGTGCGAAATGCTATAAATAGACACAACGAATATTCCTAAATGAAAAATCGTTGCGCTTACCTATTTAGATTTATGTTTTCAATTTCTATGATCATATATCGGAGGCACATCGGATCACATCGGAGGCACCGGTTGACCTGAAGTGATGCTGTGACCGCGCGCTCTAAGCCCCTATCTCGAAAACGGTTCACCGTATGAAAAAAATTTTTAAAGAAAATTTGTAGAGAATTTTGTATTCTACAATATTGATAATAAATACCAATAGCAAAAAACCCATAGGAAATGAGATATTTACAAAAAAAGCGCAAAAAAATGTATGTTATGTACGATTTTTGTGACCTTTGACCTTGAAATTTAATAGTTGCGTACACCCTACCATATGTAGGTTTTGAGACAACTTTTAGGGTGTCAATATACACGTATTTACAGACTTACAGCTGGGTATCTGAATTCCGATGTGAACTTACTATAATGACTGGACTAAATAGCCGAAGCCGGAATTTATAGTAAATCACACAAGGCAAAAGCTAAAAGTTATAAGTAGGACAACTTTCTGATATTCCTTCTAGAAGGGAAAAGGGATAACCCCGCAAACCGACAAAACCCAGAAAAAAGTGGCAACAAAGCTTTTGTCGATTTAAAATATTTCACAATTTTTAAATATTTTTCCGTGGCTCTCAAAAATATGCCTCAATATGTATGCATGCTCATATATAAACATACATATGTATATAAACGAATATTTAATCGTACATTTCTTAACATTTCTTTGTCAATAAGATTACACAAAGTAATACAAATTATACATATGTATGTATACCTTTACTATTTTATTTTATTTTTAATAAACATAATTACTCAATGTCTTAAAATAAGGAAAATAAAAAGTTTCATTTATAAAAACGCTTGTTAGGATACCTATTAATTTTTCGAGTTATATGTACTATGCATATGTATGTATATAATCACTCTACTTTTGCTTAAAGAAAAAAAATGTTTGTTGTCATAGAATTCAAATGAAAATCAATATTAAACAAGTTTTCGAATTTTCCTGTTATTCTTCAGTTGATAAAAAAAATTGTATGTAAGTTTCTAAACTGAAATTCAACTGAATTTCATAAATGAAAAAAGAACTCATTCGAATTATTTTTTAAGACGGAAATGTCGAAGTCTATTACCAGCTTGAACTTTAAACCGCAGTCGCGTAGAAAACCATCAAAGACTCATTTAGCCAAGCCTACCACAGTGAATACTGTGGTTACTGAACAAGATGATATGCCTGCAGAAGAAGACTCTGATGTTCATTTGTAGGGATAAATTATTTAAGGCTTAGATTTAAATATATTTTATTTTTACAATTTAAAGAGTAACGACAGGTAAACTGCATGTTAAGAAGTGGCGCGAACCTGATTCAGATGATGAAGGCAACCCAGAGCATAACTATGATATTGCTGAAGCTTGGCGAAGTCTTTTTAGTTTGCCATCCTGTCATCAAATAATTTTAAAGTATTTGAAAATATACTATATATTAATATCTATATACTTTTCATGCACTTACTTACCTTCACTTACAGAGAAAATGTGCAGCGGCGTTTACAACTTTTGGTTGGATTAAATGTTACTCAAGAATTCCCCTGGAAACAAATAAGGTATAAAAGTTTGATAGACCAATTTGAAAATATAGAGGATGGTGATTTTATAAGCTCAGCACTTGAAGGGTTTAATTTAGAGGACCATTTGTTGTTTGGTTACACCCCAATTTTAACAGAGAACCAAGATGATGTCCCTGAGGGTGATCCATTCATTGTTTTTTTAAGTCCTGCAGACGCTAAAATAGCATTAACAATAATTCGAAATATGGAGTTGTATGAACGTTGGCTTGTAAACAAACGTTTGATAAAAAAGCCTCGTAGATGGATATCACTAGGTAGTGAAAATGAAGTTAATATGACCATAGAGCAAGCCCACTCAAGTCCCTTAGAGGTCGAGGTGCAGAGTGTCTATCCTTTAAGGATACCTGAGCTCAAAGAATTTTCTTTACGGAAATCTACGGATATACGAGACGGATATGTAGAGCTATTACCTAGTGATTTAATAAAATTTGAAAATGTTACGCGTCGTCGAGTTACTATTGGAATACAATCCGCACCAACTTTAATAGATCTTGAACAGCAAACCGACCCTACATTTCCAACAAATGCCTGGGCACAATATTTATATGAAATAAATGATGAAGGTTTTTGAATAACATACATATGTATAAGGCCATAATAATTAAATTTCAATAACTTTTTAAAACAAAGATGGATTGGATGAAACATCAGAAGACGAGGCCTCTAAGGATCAAATACATGGGTCAAGCCGAAGTCCAACTCCATCTCCAATAGAACCTCGAAAATCCAAACCACAGCCAATGTCACCTAATATTCGATTGTTACTGGACACCCTTGAGTTCAATCAAATCGATATGTATCGGTAAGCTATTTATTCTATATTCTCATTGCCTAATTAAGTATTTTATTAAATCCTTGACCGAAAATCAGTAACTTCGGAGTTAAACGCTTACATCCGAATTATACCTAGTTTCGATTAAAAATTTAAAGGACTAGTTAATTAGGCGCTTTGCCAGACATCTCGAATAATATCAACTATATTAATACCATTTGATTATTACATTGCTAATCTAATTTTTAGCTTACTAAATATGTTTGTTTTTTCATAATTTTAGTAATGATTACGCATACATTTGTAATAAGCCGATTGAACACTACACCACTCCACATTTAGAAGAAACCTTGTGTTTTGCTAATATTTCTAAAAGCTACGAGCGGTACGTTTGTGGGATAGATTGGTATTCCTCTTTGTCAGGATTAATTGCAACCTCTTATACATTTAATACTCCTGCTACAGTTGAATTAAGTACATATTTTTTTAGATAAATTTCAGTGCAATAATTTATGTCATTATGGGTAATATTTTTTTTAGTCTCACGACATGTTGATGTAGTTCAACGGGCTGTATTGCAACCAAATCCGATATTAATGTGGAGTTTCGCTGATAATTTAAATTACAAATTAGAGTTTGAAACATCTCAAGAAGTCACCGTACTATCATTTTGTCCACATGATCCAAATATTTTATTCGGTGGAGGTAAAAATGGTCAGATAATTGCTTGGGACTTACAAGGTCGGGCAGAAAAGCTTGACACTGAAGAGATACTAACAGCGGCACAATCGAAATATCGTGTTTTAATAGCTGATTTTTTAAAATGGACAATACAGATAAATGAAGATGCTATTGTACCGCCCGTCATGTCATCAGCTCTAGAGGTGTCACAAAAGTCTTCAATTACTGGTATATATTGGCTAGGTCAGCATTTTTATGTAAATTCTTTTGGAAAGACTCTAACTGATCCAAATAAAGAGATTGTGCATAAATTCTTTCTCACTTGTTCTGTGGATGGAACAATTTCTTTTTGGGATTTGGATTCAACAAATGATAAGAAACTTCAAGCTGCAACATTAAGACATGACCAACCCAAAGCTCTGACACAAAGCGAGTCCATCTATAAAAATAAAGTGCTAAAACCCATATTTACTATTGTGTTTAATGAACCGATAACTTCCATATTTTGCGATTCATCTGTATTTCATTGCAAGGTTCCAGATTCTCCAAAAAAAAGAGTAAATTCGAATAATTTTGCTACCATTTTAGAACCAATTAATCCACAAGAAATAAGACAGTCAGTTATAACTTCTTCATTTTATGGACACATTGAAAGACTGAATTGGTTAGGTTCATATGCTGATGAAGAATGTCGCGAGAACGTTTCTAAATCAATAAATTTTGCTAGAGTTCACGATGGACCAGTAATTGCAATAAGGAAAAATCCATTTTATCCAGTTGTATTTGTTTCAATAGGTCGGACTATATTTGCTGTGTGGAAAGAAAACTTTAATTATTCGCCAATATTTTGGAGAAAATGTTCTGCAGATTTGACTTCCGTTACGTGGAGTGAATCGCGACCTGGAATTTTATATCTCACCCGTATTGATGGAAATATGGAAGCTTGGGATATTTTAGGTAATTGCTGTTATAATAATAATTATCTTATTATTATATATATATAACATGGATTAGGAAATATAAACCTTATATAACAACATTCCTTAAAAATAAGCAAAACCAATAATAACAGTAACAATATAAAGCCACACAAGGCATTAATTTTAATTAGTTATTAAAATAATTTAATTTTTTTAAATATGTAGAAAAATTCATAGAATATATTTTAAGGATACAAATGAATGAAAGCTTTCAAATTATACAAAAAATAAAAAACATAAAAATAATAATAAAAAATGAGTGCGCTAAGTATATTTGCAACGATTGTTATGGAAGATGAGCTGAATGCAGAGAAAACTAGTGGTTGTTATTATGTGATGTGTATGTTGTGAATTTATTAAATGGCCCATTTGTCTACCTTCAGAAATATTATGGGCAACTTTTTTCCTAATTAAGCCACGGTAGACACTTGCCCGAAATCATTTTTAAAACATAATGACAAACATATATATTTTTAATAAAGCTAAATTCTTGGCTATAAAATTTATTATATTAGCGTTTTATTTCTTCCTGAAAACCACATGTCTCAAAAAACACCCTTTACATTAAGCTCTGTAACCGATTCCTATATAAGCGTATCGACTTTATGTTAGTCACCTTTAGTGAAAGTAAAATATAAAACACCAAATATCAGATTGAAAATAAATTAGCTTGAATTTCACCCGGAAGTGAATTACAGAACCTACCTGATAAATAGCGAGATTATTTCCTATACCACAAAATTGGGCAGTTTCAAAAATGAGTGTTCAGCCAACGAATTTAATCGACTTTTTAGTATTCATATTTATATCTTTCATATTTTTTATAATAAAACTATGTGCATCAGTGGCTGAAACGTTCCTTATTTATTTAATAATTTGCTGTGCGGCAACATGTTGCGAGAGCATAATAAAAAAAACGAAAAAACTTAGTTTGAATGTTTTACTAAGTATATAACATAATATTTTCCCATATTATTAAGCGCGAGACGACGATGCCTGCTACAATGACATTTTGGGCGGTGGAATAATTACGGCAATATCGGAACATCGCCCTTCAGAACCTGAGAAGCTACTTGGGATAGGTGATTATAACAGCAGTTTCCGAATGATGAAGTTACCACAAAGTTTTTACACTCCAGAGCCGAAAGAATTGGAGGTTTGTTTGTGCAAAATAATATTATTTTCATATAAATTTATTATTATTTGTATTAGAAAGTAAAAGAGTATTTTAGTAAGGAAGAGAACCGTAAAAAATCTATTCAGGCTTGGGAACATCAGTATTTTGAAAATAATCGTGATATAATTGAAGCAAAACGTCAGGCTGAAATAGATACCAGAAAAGAACTAGAACGCCTCGAAAAGGAGTATATAATAAATGCAACACGTAAAGTTAAAGAAGGAGGAGAGGAGAATAAGTATTATTTACTACGTGTTCATTCTATATAAAAATTTGTTTTCTTCTAATCGAATACTATTTCTGTTTTGTCTATTTTCAGAGATGAATCAAAAAACCTTTCATATACAGAACGGATGAAACGTAAATGGGATGAGTTGAATTTGAATCGTTTACTAAGCATTCTAATGTCTCGCAAGCGTGTTGATGAGGAAAAGCTAGAGAGAGAAACTCGGCTTGAGAAAAAACATTTAGCTTATGAGGCCGCAAAAAAACAATCCTTAATTCGCATCCAACAAAGAGTAGGAGAAGAAGTAGCATCTGTAAGAGCAAGGATACTGCCACATGAAAAAGTTGATTTACAACGTATCGACATGATAATTTCATCTGTACGAGTATTAATGGAGTCCATTGACGATTATGCTGATACTGAAATGGAATCCAATGAAATCGTAAAGGACTTTGATGCCTTTGATACTTTAAGTTACATAGATTTTCTATACCGTGGAGATCATCGTCGACGTTTGCTGAACAAGTCAATAGGTGGGAATACTGAAAGAATATATTGGTATGAATGCATCCAAGATGAAGATCTCTTGGAGGAATGCAGTTGGTGGTATGATAGTTTCCTTGACCCTCAAATATCTTTAAATGCTAATAAAAATAATGAAATACAAAATTTTGACTCCGATACGAGGTCAACATATATGAGAGACTAAACGTATACAATACTAAATGTAATAAATACCAAATATATCGTAGATTTTCATTGTTAACTGTTTTGGTCAGGGGACCTCAATAGCGCCCAGCAAGTTCCTGGAATTCATCAGAGTGCTGGGCCTTAGTGAGTAAGTAGTTCGCGGTGCAATCCTCAATTAAATTGTATGTGGGGGTCATCTATTTAGATAGATTTAAATAAGGTGTGAAGTATTTAAAATATATCCCATTACAATTGTGGTTGATACCAATGATATTGCAGTTGGTATCTAGGGACAAATCACACACAGCGGGGATACTACCAGATATGATCCCTTTTGGCCCTGTCAATTCATTAATAACCTGAGACCAACGTATGGTGGAGTAATAACAGCTTAGATGCACAACTTCCTCATATGAAGACAACTTCCTGGGTTGTCACAGAAAGATTAAATAACGCAACTACTGCCTGACAACGAGAGCACTCCATGCAACATAAAAACCCATATATTTGTTTAATTACTTAAGTCCATTTTTTAATTGTATATATGTACACATATTTTTGTAAGGTAAAATGTATTATTTATTAATGGTGCAACAAAAGACTGCTCCTTGAAACTACTGAGCAGTTACAAACATATCAACGATTTCCTTTATACCGCAAATAAACAGATTTAAGATATATTCAGAAAAATACCTTTTAGCAAGTAATTAGATATGTTAATGTTATAGAATAAGTATGTTATACCAAAAATACATTAAAAGATCATAACTTTTATATGGAAAGTATTTTACAGTAAAGTTTTGGATACATCAAAATACTTAAAATTATTTAATTCTTACAAATTGCTAATGATCGGTTGCACACGACCTTAAACCTTCTTCACATGATATACAATGAGGGCTATTATTATGGAGTGTAGTGAGTGAGCTTATCACTATAAAGTTCAACTATATAATAGCCCTTCCTTACTTGCAAATAATGTTAGTCTAAACTCTCAAAGCTGTCTATTCATTTATACCAAATTAAAATTAATTTTTTAAAGTACAGACGTTTATCGTCACGAAATGAAACTAAATTTAGTTTGTACTGTGTACTTTCGAATTTTCATACACAATATAAACATTTTTGCATTTACATACACATATGTACACGCTATCATAAATAAAATTACAAGTAGGTACTGTCTTATTTAGAAGTTTTCCGATACTGTATCACGTCAGATTGAACCAAACAGTTTGTATATAGTTTAGATAAGCGTTATATACTACAAAATCGCTTAAATAAAGAAAGAAAATGATTTTATTTTTATTTATCTTATTAACGGTGACTATTTTTATGATATATCTTTTTTTGTCATGGAATTTTACACACTGGAGTAATCGTGGTATAAAAGGTCCGAGACCGTTACCTTTATTTGGATCATTTCCAGGATTAGTTACCAACAAACAACATTTTGCAGACGATATTAACGATATTTATAGGCAAGAGAGTCTTAATTACAAATTACAAGTTTATAAAATTATTCTTATGTATATCAAATTTAAAGTATCTTGAAACGTAAATAAATTTAATTTTTCTAGAAAATACAAAAAATGTGAAAGTTACGTGGGTGTTTTTCTCCTTCGGTCTCCACTACTTATGCTATTAGAACCACAACTTGTGCATGATGTTTTCGTTACTTCTTTTAAACATTTTAGTTCTAATGATGTTGCAAAACTGGTAAGGCAACAATTGTAAATTATAAATTACGTAACTAATAAACAAAAATTATAATTATTTTTAGATTGACAAAAATAAGGATCCGTTGTTAATATGTAATCCTTTTATACTGAGCGACCAGGAATGGCGGGAACAGCGATCGTTAGTATCTCCAGGTTTTACAATCGCTCGTATGCGAACCTCCTACTGTACAATGCAATTGGTTTGTAAGTCTTGGTGTGAGTTCCTAAAATGTCAGATAAATATTCATTCAAAAGACGGTCTGAGTGGAAAAGATGTAAGTTTCAATAACGCTATAACGTACATTAATATAAACTAATAATTAGTTTGTTATAGAGGTCTAAGCCTGAACTTATGTACATTCGCTCCTTTTACATCCTTCGTTAATCCTATTTCTAGTTCGACATTGCGGGTGTACATGCTATTGTGTGCAACATATCGATTCAATTATATCGTGTTGCGGACGGAGCCGTTGTGCTGTAATTCATTTAAAATACTATATGTAGTCGCTACACGCAAACTTTTTTCTCACAACTTTTGGTAGTTGTTGTTTGTTAAAAGCATGTAAGGGTGTACAAATGGGAATCTGAGGCTGAGGCAATGTATAATTGCTAAAGTGGAGTTAATACTAAAAAATTTATTGTTCCTAATTTACGAACATACATATGTACATACAATCCAATGTTGAAAAAAATATCAGCTCATATGCTTAAAATTGTTTTTAACTTTTACCCTCTCAATGTTTCTATTTTATGTAAACATATCCTCACCAAACTTGAGCGCCATTGCTCATTTAATTAGCATGGGAAACTTTTTTTTGTAATAAAATTGAATTTATATTCATATAATTAAGGCAATTTTAAAAAAACTAAAAACATTTTATATTCTTAAAGTTGAGTCTTTGAGCTTTACTAAATTTTTAAACAAAGTAGAAGAGTAGTTACAGTCAACATTTTTTAATATATAATAAATAACATTTGAAAGTATTTCCCAGGCTACCATATAATCCTTGAAAATTGCGAGAGTATAAAATGTTCGATTACATCAAAACTTCGCCCTTTCTTAGTTTTTAATAAGTTTTAATTGCTAAACCAAATAAAGAAAAGTTTTCACAAAACTTTTGAGAAGACATCTGTAGTGGGCGTTGCATTTTTGTATGCGCGGCACTTTAGATTTATACCCAAAATTTCTGTCGCTCAAATATATAATATAACTTCAATTCAAAATTTGTAATGCCAAAGAGAGTTTAGTTGTTTTAATTTCAATTAACTGAGATGAGTGGTACACAGTAATAGGATATAAATTCTGTTCGCCGGAATATGTAGCACGTTGTAATACAACCAGTAACGGTATTTACTTTGAGCGCACCCAATATGTTCTCAAGAGTTCTAAGGGCTTTTAGTAAAAAGTTTTCTTTATACTTTCATTTTATTTGTACATAATTGCACCCTTTATTACGTCGGTAGTTTCTGCTAAGATAATGACATATTCTACTTAAATTATTATTATTCTTTAATATTATTACAATAACTGAACAATAATTAATAATGCAAACAATGACATAATTTTATTGCAGAAATTTAATAAATTTATTGTAGATTTCAATTACTATTAAAATGGTGTACGGTGAAGACTTTTACCTCAATTAAATTGCAAGGGTACAATTTCTTACTTGTCCTTAATTTCTCGATTTTATATATTTGAATATGGTATTAGGAATATAATATATTTAAAATAAAATACGAAGTTTCTAATATGTATTAATTATCAAAAGCCAATTAATTTTATGAACATATAACTAAATGTTTTACATGAACCATTCCAGATTGCACTTCGTTTCACTGCTGAAAATATAGCAAGAAGTGTGCTCGGTATTAGTGAAAAAACGTATGTCGATCAAATTACAAAAAATATAAAGATGCTTTCCGAAAACAACAACGTTTTTATTTTATATACCATCATGGCCGGTGTATTGCCTAAAATTATAAACATCTTTAAAGTGAAATTTATTCCTAACAAATGTGAAGACTTTTTTAAAAAGCTAATCCAAGAGGCTTTGCGAATCTATTTAGAAAGTTCAACAAAACGGCGCGACTTCATGGACCATTTAATGACACTAAAGAAAAGTCACAATCTTAACGAAGAAAACTTGATTTCGCATACAATGACATTCCTCATCGATGGATTAGATACATCAGCGACGGTTATATCTCATTGTTTATTTCTAGTAAGAGATATTTTCACCCCGTAATATTAATGCTTTAAAATCATACTTATAATTCAATTCAGTTAGGTCGTTATCAAACTGTCCAAAAAAAATTACATAGAGAAATAGTGAAGAATTCTGTTAACGGTGAAATTTGTTTTGAAAAACTGAATGAACTTCCTTATTTAAATGCTTGTTTAAATGGTACGTTGTTTACAAAATAATATGTTCGCACTACTACTGTGAGCTTTGTTTCTTTTCAACTTAGAGAGTATTAGAATTCTTCCGCCTGGTTTGTGGTCCATTAAGAGATGTACTGTACCTTATACTTTTACTAACAAAAACGGCGACAAAGTCTCCTTAGCAATTGGTGACTCTGTAATGATTCCAATATACGCAATTCATCATGATGAAAATCATTATTGTAATCCAGATCGATTTCAGCCTGAAAGATTTCTTACAGAGGACGGAAATAATTTGAAATTATTTCGCAATATTGGAGCGTTTTTAGGATTTGGAGATGGGCCCCGAATGTGTTTGGGTAAGAAATTTGTCTCTTTTCAACTATTTACATATTATATATTATGGAATATTTTATTTTTCGAAGGCATTAATTTTGCAACGATTCAAACAAAGGTAGCCATAGCTTCAATTATATGGCAATTCAGTGTTACTTTGAATGCAAGAACTAAATCCTTCGTTAAACTAGATCCGAAATATTTTCTAACACAACAAGATGGTGGTGTTTGGCTTAATTTTAGTGAAAGAAGATATATTACATAATCTTAGGAAGGATCAAGGACTTAGTAGTCGGTTTTCTTAAGATGTAAACAATAATCGGAAATCCAAAATAAACTGCTATAATCTTATCACCTATAGTTATGTCACAAAATAAATATAGTTTGTCGAATGATTTATATTTGTTTAGTAATTGTTAAAAATAGAAATAGATCCCAACAATTTGTTGTTGCGGTCGTGAGAACGAAAAAATATATGTCAGAAAAAACGCTTTGCTTTCCGTGCTTCTCTATAATAGGTTATCGCACATACATTCAACTTCTTTGTCAAAGCAAATGTATGAAGACAAGCAAAGCTAAATTTGTATGCGAATCAGTTATCAGAACATTGTTTA